AAAATCGCCCATCCATAAAAAAAAGTGTCTCATGTGGCTCCGGGGGGTTAACAAAGGCTTTCTGTAGCGAATCGATGCATTTTTGTAAGAAATATATCCATATTCAAAATGTAATAACAAGCTCAGTCCCCATCCCTAGTGAGCTGCCTATTCAGGGAACACTTGCAGACACTGTAAGCACATTTCCAGGAAATTATGCTGCTTTGCTTTGGTCCAAGCAGTATTGCTTGCCTCTTTTATGGATAATGCAATTCCATGCAGTGCTGTTATAGTTATCTAAAATTAAAACTTAAACTATTAAAAATAATTTTCGCCAACTTTAATAAAGCTGATAAAATAAAATACAAAAAAAGAGGAAACTTAAAAAAAAACTTAAAACAAATTAAACTTTAAAAACTCCAACAAAAAATGAGAAATGTTGCCTTGTCAACTAACTGAAATAGGTACTAAAAGCACTAAAATTAAAACTGAAATAAAATTAAAGCTATATAGAAATATTATTAAAATCTAATAAAAATGACAAAAGCACATAGTGCTAAACCTGGTAATGTATATTACAAATATTGTTACTTCTCCATGTTTTATTATACAGACAAATATAAACAGACAACATTAGGAATATTGCTGGCTCTTTGAAAAATTGCTTTTGTTTTGTGCTTTGTTTTGTAAGTTGCTTTGTATAAATGTGTTTGCTAAATACATAAATGTAAAATTAAAAAATGAATAAAGCTTAAAATAAAATTAAAATGAATACAAAAATAAAAGTTAAAATACTAAAAATAAATAAATCTAAAATCCAAGATGGAGAATGAAGTGAAGCACTGGTTAAATATCAATATTTTATATAAAGTTTGATAAAAAAATAGTTCTAATTAAATGTAATATTTATTAACAAGTTCTTAGCTTAGCAAATGTGAGTCTAATGCTCACATTAGACCATGGCTGCAAAATTGTACTTTGCAGGTATATGATTATAAACATGATAATGTACAGCTGCGTTTCCAAGTCTGACTTCAAATGTCACTTTTCAAATAGGAAGCTGGAAATTCCACGTTTGAAATTTTCCGAGCTGGAAAAGGCAGAAATAGCATGCAGCATATTCAGCTGTGAGCGTTAGTCAAATCTCTAGTGCGCTTCTCGTGAGGAGTCACTTATGAGGTTGCATCTCATTTAAGATGCTACCTTGTAAGGCAATCTGCCTATCTAGACAGTTAACAGTGAGGAAGCTCACTAGGTTTTAGACGAGGCAACTCTGACCTTCAGGGAAGAACCAGCTTGCATGGTTGATTATCAGTTCTATTATAGACACGACATGGACGGAGGTAGTAGCTGCCATCTCAGCAAGGCTTCTAGAAGGACAACAAAACTGCAACATGTCAAACTGTTCCTCAAGAAACCTATAACTAATAACATTTTATATAAACAATGCAATTTGAGAAGTTTTATGGGTATTATTATTATGTGAGTGGATTGCTGTATCTCACCCCTCTGTCCTGGCCCACAGTAAATTGGGTCCCAGTACGATGGCGATGTTGCTCGCTGTCATCTTATTTATGTCACTTTCCAGAGCAAGCTTCGCAAGAAACTTCACCAGGTACCTTCACAGACACAGATTAGCTTGTTACGATCACAACAGTCATTACAGGTCAATGTTAAAAGTTAGTTTAGTGTAGTAACAAGCAGACCTAAAGTTGGTCTTGTTGGCCTTTGGTAACATGTCACATACCACCCACAACGCCTGAAGCCTCTTATCAGGGTCAGAGATACTGCAGACGAGAGAAAACAAGAGGAAAAAAGTGAGGAAAACAGATATATGACACAAGAATCTCATAAGATTCTTCAGCTGTCCCTACACAACAAAAACTGAAAAACAAGTCCATTTAATCACTTTTTATGAGATATTTAAATTATTTTAGTGTAAAAATATGATACAGTTTGAGCATAAAACCTTAAATTTAACAAGGATAACAAGGAAACACTAAGCTATTAGAGAAACTTCAGATAACCGTATTTTTTTACTGAATTTGTGCCCCATATTTTATCATAGAAATCAAAACAATGGAATATTCACAGCAGGGATGAAATCTGATGACAAAGCAAGAATTATATGTGAATAAAAAATTTATTTTGGGTTGTATCTTGCATTAAACCTAGTGAAATCTCTATCAATCTTTTTTTAAATTAATACTTTTATTTAGTAGGGATGCATTAAAACCAGGGCCGTGCACAGACCTTTTGAGGGGCATGTGCTGAAACTGAAAAAGGGCACAAAATAATGAAATAACACAAAATAATAGTCTCAAAAGCTTTAGATTTATTCACTTTTAATAACAACCATAATATATATATATATATATATATAGGGTTTCTTAGGTCTACCAAAAAAAGGGCACTTCGGAGTGTAAGGGCAAAAAGGGCATGTGCTCTGCACAGGTTGAGCCCTACCTGTGCACGTGCCTGATTAAAACTGATCAAAAGTGACAGTAAAGACTTTTATAATATTACAAATATTTGACAAATTTTTCAAATGAAAGCTGATTTTTTGAACTTCCTACTGATCAAAGAATCCTGAAAAAATGTATAATGGTTTACACCAAAATATCAAGCAGCACAACGGTTTTCAACAATGATAATAAGAAATGTTTCTTGAGCAGATCAGTATATTAGAATAATTTCTGAAGGATCATGTGACACTGAAGACTGGCGTAATGCTGAAAATGCAGCTTTGCATCACCAGAATAAATTACATCTTAATATGTATTAAAATAGAAAAGTTATTTTAAATGGTAATATTTCAAAATATTACTGTTTTTACTTTATTTCTGATCAAATAAATGCAGCCTTGTTAAACACAAGAGACTTCTTTCAAAAACAATTAAAAATGTTGCCAACCGCAAACCTTTGCTGGTATATCTTGAATTAAAGCATGTAAATGATGGGTTGCTGGTTATGATAAATTATGACTGATACAGAATTATTAAATTAGTTGCTCTACAAAGCTAACCTCTTTGCTATTCATTGTTTGTTTGCTAATATGGTTTTATGCTTATACCTAAGTTAGTCATGCAAATTTTTAACCAAATGTTCAAGATTTGGTGAGACTCAATAACAAACCTATATTTTCTTCTGAATACAGAGGCATTGAAGTCACATGGACATTGATGTACAGTATTGTGAATGTGCTTTACTTTGAGGCTTGGATCCACTCTTCATACAGCTGATAGGTCATCAGAGGTTCAGGCAGCTCCCTCAGGTAAGATTTGAGGGCTCCTAAATAATCACGGAAAAACAAAACCAACAGCAAATGGATTTGAAAATCACCAATTCTGTTTTAACATGACATGCAAAGTGGACTCAGACTCGGTTTTTCAAATATTTGGCTATAGCTGTGGTACTCTTCAATATGGTGAACAGAACTGAAAACTTCCAGGTTTCAAAATAGATCAGCACCAAAATTCTGGTTTTGTAATCAACAATACAACCAAACATGGTTTAAAATCAAAGAAATATAGTCTCACTTTCATTTTTGGGAGTCATTCTAAATGCAGAAATGCTAAAATCTCTGTAACTAGCTGCAAACAAACTGCATCCTTCTACAGTTTCATTTACGAAAAATGACTTGTACCGGCTACAGCATGAGGGTCGAAGTAAAACTCCTCCAGTTGGGAAGTGGAACAGTCCAGTGCCGCCTTTAACTTCTTCAGTTTAGAGGCTCCAGCAGCGATACGGAACAAACCCTGGCACGAAAGGAAATGTGGAAAACACACAAGACCTTTGCAACGTGCAGTACAATATAAACTGAGTTGCTTATGTATTAAAAAAATGACTGAAAATGCTGTTTTCATATGTGTCAGTGATGGTTTCACAGGGAAATGATTGTTTCATTTCACTGCTATTATTAGTCTGGTTTTAGCCAAGAAGCAGAAGTGAATCAGTAGATCTCTCCACCCATTATCCATCTCTAACACAGATATACTGCTATATATCACTCAATATGCTACACTCTCAAAAATCATTAAGGTCTGTCTATCTATCTATCTATCTATACATCCATTCATCATCTATCATCTATCCACCCACCCAGCGTCGGCGTCACGGGGGGCCTGAGGGGGCCCGGCCCGGCCACTGTGCCCCCTCACCTCTGGTGCCGTCTCCGTAGTGGGCGCCCTGATTTTAGTCGGTGAGGCAAGGTACTGCCCTGGGAAGGTCTCCCAGGCTGTTAAATACACAGATTAAAAGCGAAATATTTTAATTTCGGTTCGTTCTTAGCAAAAAATTTTTTTTTTTCGTTCAGGCTATGCAAAGCGAAATAAGAACGGTGCTGCATTTAGAAAGAATTCTTATTAACTTTGCTATTATTCTTGAATTTTCAAACTGCTAACACTTTGCACTTTGCCGTTTCGAATTATGCCTTTACTGTATGACCAAAAATTACGGAGTAGTCTATTTTATGTTTCAGCTGTTTGATCGCGCCGGCGCCTCACGCGCACACTAAGCTACTGCATTCACTGGAAACAGCGCAGCCGTTCACCGTGCCGTTCGGCGTGAGACCCGGTCCACTGTGGCATATTTTTGCTCATTATGATATTTTTCCGTCGATACTGGAACGCGCGTGAACTACAAAGCCTATTTTACCTAATAAGGCTAATAGTTTAGCTTCAGCTACATCGCGAATATGGACACATTTGGATTTGTGCCTGAGAGAGGTAAGCCCAACTTTACCTTACGTTTCTTTATAAATTAATTTGTTTTGGCATGTTTATTGCTAAGCATATATTATTATATACTGCAATTATATTTATCCATTAGAATTATATATTTTTAAATTCTTATTCTGCTCTGATACGGTTAAATTTAAAGGATTTGTTGTAAAGTCAGGGGAACTAAAATATCATGTGTGTTCATAATGTTGGTACATTCTAACATTATTAGGCCTGCCGTTATTATTTCTGAAAATGCAACTTATACGAGACGTATCTTTTTTTTTTTTTCCCCAAAAAAAAACAAAAAACATTTATTATGTTTTTAAAGCATGCAGCAAATGAGAATATGCGATTAATCTGTTAAAATTTGTTACTGTGGGTTAACAAATTTACATTAGTAGGCTATTCTTATGCTTGGCTTCACAGATAGCAACAGAGTCTGTGCAAAATCTGGTTTACATTCACTTCTGGCTTTTTTCAGTCTTGATTGCAAATGTTTTTTTTTTTTTTTTATGTACGATGGATAATTAAAACAAAAATCAGGCGTGTGTATTTATAACATCAATTACTAGGCCTACATTCTTTTTTTTTTTTTCAGAAATGGAAGTAACTCAAAATGTTGTGTGTTTGTAATTTTAATATTTTTATCTATAGGCCTATACAGCAAAACTACAGAGCTTCCAGTAGGTTATTTTAAGGAGCTGTAAACACGGGAATCTCCGACCGCATGCAATCTTTGACGAACACCCAATTCATATATCAATAAATTGTGCCTGCCCCCTCACTTTGTGTGCTCTGGCGCCGACCCTGCACCCACCCCTTCATTCATCCATCCATCCATCCATCTAACCATCTGTCCATCCATCATTTCTTTATCATCTACCGATCATTAATCCACCCAGCCAGCCATCCATTTATCATTTATCTATCATCTATCCATCCATCGATCCATTATCTATTTATCATCTCCACCATTCATACATCATCTATCATCCATCCATCCAAACATCTATCCATCTGTCCATCCATCCATTCATCTGTCCATCCGTCCATCCATCCATCCATCCATCATCTGTCTGTCCATCCATCCACCTATCCTTCATCTGTCTGTCCATCCATCCATCCATCCATCCTTCATCTGTCTGTCCAGCCATCCATCCATCCACCCATCCTTCATCTGTCCATCCATCCATCATCTGTCTGTCCATCCATCCACCTATCCTTCATCTGTCTGTCCATCCATCCATCCATCCATCCTTCATCTGTCTGTCCAGCCATCCATCCATCCACCCATCCTTCATCTGTCCATCCATCCATCATCTGTCTGTCCATCCATCCACCTATCCTTCATCTGTCTGTCCATCCATCCATCCATCCATCCTTCATCTGTCTGTCCAGCCATCCATCCATCCACCCATCCTTCATCTGTCCATCCATCCATCATCTGTCTGTCCATCCATCCACCTATCCTTCATCTGTCTGTCCATCCATCCATCCATCCATCCTTCATCTGTCTGTCCAGCCATCCATCCATCCACCCATCCTTCATCTGTCTGTCCATCCATCCACCCATCCTTCATCTGTCTTTCCATCCATCCATCCATTCATCTGTCTGTCCATCCACCCATCCTTCATCTGTCTGTCCATCCATCCATCCTTCATCTATTTATAATTTACCCACCCATCCATCAATCATCTATTTATCATCTGTGATCTCTCCACCCATCCATCCATCATCTATCCTTCTATCTATGTCTATGCATCTATCCATCCATTCTGAGACAAAAGGAATAAAAGACAAATATTGAGAAGATCAACACACACGCGAATACAGGCAGGTTTTAAAAGCTTGATATTAATAACATAAAATGTTAACTTGCAAGTTGCAACCCCACTTTTATTTGGATTCTGACAACTATGCAACTTTATTTTTTAAATGCATGTCAAATAAATGTCATTCAACCATTTAAAACTGGTTCTGTACAAAAGTGCCCTTTGCAAAATATTCAAAAGGCAGAAACATTGACCACTTCCCTGAAAATGACAACTATCCGCCATTGTGTATGCAGTAACAATGTGCATCCACTTGAAAACCAACACGTCTTTTCATCTGTGGGTTCTCATGTGTTGTTTCACAGTGTCAGATACCTCTTCCTGCATGCCGGTTTCCAGTAGCATCATAATGCAGGCCTCTATGGGCAGAGCGATCTCTCTGCTAGTGCGTTTCAGATGTTCTTCCAGAGCCGTGCCAAACGCTGGCTTCTCTGTCCATTTATCTATGTCAGATGATGAGATGAAGAGAGAATGATTTGAGTTATGGCAGGAAACATTTAAGAATCATCACTAGGTGGGTGTGGAACACAGATTCTGTAAGCCAGGATGATTTACAGTGTGAAACAGGATACATTATAGCGCTGGCCACCAGGAAGCTTTGAAAGAGAAAGAATGATTCATAGCTTGATGACTAGCCAGATCTTTGGGTGAATCTCATCAAATCTGTCAAAAACATGACTGGGTCACACACACACACACACACACACACACACACACACACACACACACACACACCACACACACAAAAAAAACCTATCTATATATAAAATAATATGAAGCTTTCATATAAAATAAAAAATAAATATAAATTAACGATACGATAATTTGTTTAAAAACACAGACACACACACACACACACACACCCAGACATGTTCTATAAATATTGTCAATACACATTGAAAATAAATAAAATACCTTTATTACTGTAAAAAAATCTAAAGTGTCTAAACAAATGACAGTATTGACAAATCAGGTTATTTTACATTACACTAATAAGAATTTTAAGGGTAAATGTGCTTAATTGTCATAACAATATATGTCACAAATGCAAAAAAAAGCCACAATTTATTCATGCAATATATATTCTTTTGTTTTTAGGGTGAATATGACCCAGACATGTTCTCTCTCTCTCTCTA